ATAGTTCAAATTATGATTTCATAATTATGTTAATGTTCTATCACTAAATGTTGGTACTTTCCATTAAGGCTAAATTTGGTGATTTGAGTAAAATAAATAGAATGCATGTCGATTTAATAGGGTATCATTGCTTAGAAAATGAAAGGAGAAGAGACCCTCCCCATATCAATAAAAAAATAATGATTAATTAAGTAATCCCCAGGAATGAGTAATTAAAAAGTCCTTAATCAACAAATGAAATTATGACTTGTTAATAAAAACCACTTATTATCCTAGTAATCAATGTCCACTTGTTTCCATGTCACTTATTACAAGAAAAATAACACCTCAATCAATATAGGTTCAACTTATGCTAGACTTGGTCCAAGTCTCCAACCATTATAGTTGACATATTATTACTCCTTTTTAAAAAAAAAAGTAATTTAGAGCATTGATAGAATTGCAAGTAGGAGAAAATAGAATGATACAAGAAAATAAGTGGGTACCATTTCCTTCGTGATGTTCAATATCTACTTTAAAACTTATCAACTTAATTTTGTATGACAATTATCAGAAGAATTTTACCTTCATAATTCGAATTTAAAACTTTTAATTAAAAATAATAAATATATATCACTTCATCGTAACGTTTTGTGGTAAAAATCATACCTATATGTTACAAATGCAAAACTTTTGTGCTTTTATCTTTTTCCACATGCATGCCCATCTTACATTAAAAAAAAAGTAAAGGAGAATAAAAAATTTGTAAATAACTATTTTTTTCATTAGATTCACATTTCCTTTTTTATTTCCTAAAAAACAAATTTAAAGAAGTGGATAAAATGGTACTTGTTGTATAAATATCAGGAATATGCCATGGAGATCTCCCCACGTAAAATATTTATCTATTAATTCAAGTTTTTTTTTAAAAAAAATAAATGACAGAAGCAATCCTATCTGGAGTAGAATTATTTAAATTAGGAATATTTTTAATTCTTTTTCCAGTTAGATTAGGAATCTTTATTAAAAAAAAAACATAATTTTTTTTCCACCTGCATTATAGAATTTCCATAGGTGAAGGAGAAGATACAGGGTGTGGGGGTGGGGATGGCGTGGGGTGCATTGTGTTTGTCTCTATATATAGTTTATCTGTAGAGAGAGTGTTGAATTAGAAGAAAAAAAGAAGAAGAACACAACAAACGGCTATAATTTAGCGTGTTTTATATAGTCAAATTCAATCCACAGAGAAAAATTTTGGAAAATAACTTCCCCTCTCATTGCTGTAAATTTGAGAGGGAGGGGGTTTCTTTTTTCTTCAAACAATCTCTCTTTTCATAATTTGTTTATCTTCTGAATTTTACAGAAGGTAACAAAAATTCTTGAAAAAAGAGAGGAAAAAAATTAAAAATTGGAAGAAGCCAAAGTTTCATTGGCCATTTTTAGAGGAGGGTTTTGAATAAAATATCTTGGTAGTGCTCATGGTGTCTGATATTTATTACCCTTCAAAGAAAAGCGACGATTTTTGTGAAGACGTTTGTGGCGAGGTACCTTTTTCCCCTTTTAATTGTCATTCACCATTTTATGTGCTTAATAGTTTGGAATTTTAGTAAATATTGGTTTTTTGTTGTTGAGTTTCTGGGGAATTATGAAATATGTGTTTTTTCATTCTGGTATTGCTTATAAACCCTAAAATCTTGAATTGGGATGATGTGGGATTGCTCTGCTCCCGATGAGGAATTTTATTTTCAAAACAATATGCAATTTGGTTGTTTTTTCATATCTATATTGTTATGAGCTTCTGGAAATTTGTGGGTGTGTTGGGATTTTGGGGAAAATCCATGATTTTTAGCTATTCATTTGGATATTATCTAAACTGATGGAAGATTCAGTTTTCTTATGGTTCTCACAAGTGGATAAAAAGCTTTGAAACAAAAAATTAATATGTTGTTCTCCTCTTGGAAGATATTTGGGAAATTCTTAGGGGTTCAATAAACTAATGTGTGGAATATTTGATTGTTTTCAAAGGTTTGCTGCTATTTGCATCGTTCTGAAGTTATCTTTTTTATATGCAGCAGTCTACCCCTGGAATAGTAAGCATGTCAAGACTACGGTGTATGCTTCGAGGATTGGATTTAAAGGCTATTGTTTTTTTGGTAGTTTTTGTGCCATTATGTATAGTTGGTATATACTTTCATGGACAGAAGATTACCTACTTCCTCCGCCCAATATGGCAATCTCCTCCGAAGCCCTTTATTGAACTTACCCATTATTATCATGAGAATGTCTCAATGGAGAATCTTTGCAAGCAACATGGATGGGGAATTCGTGAATATCCTAGGCGTGTCTATGATGCTGTTTTGTTTAGTAATGAAGTGGACATGCTTACTATCAGATGGAAGGAATTGTATCCTTACATCACACAGTTTGTTCTTCTCGAGTCAAACTCCACGTTTACTGGATTACCAAAGCCATTTACTTTCGCTATTAACCGGGACCAGTTTAAGTTTGTTGAGCCTCGATTGACTTATGGAACCATTGGAGGAAGATTCAGGAAAGGTGAAAATCCGTTTGTTGAAGAGGCATATCAGAGAGTAGCACTCGACCAGCTATTGAGAATAGCTGGAATAGAGGATGATGATTTGCTGATAATGTCCGATGTTGATGAAATTCCTAGCAGGCACACCATCAATCTTTTAAGATGGTGTGATGACATTCCTCCAATTCTTCACCTTCATTTTAGGAATTACTTGTACTCTTTTGAATTTGAGCTTAAGCACAGAAGTTGGAGAGCTTCAGTCCACAGGTATCAGAGTGGCAAGACTCGATACGTACACTATCGTCAGACTGATTACCTTTTGGCAGATTCAGGTTGGCATTGTAGCTTTTGTTTCCGCCACATCTCTGACTTCATATTCAAAATGAAAGCTTACAGCCACACTGATAGAGTGAGGTTCTTGCATTATTTGAACCCTAGAAGAATACAAGATATCATTTGTGAAGGATCTGATTTATATGACATGCTTCCTGAGGAGTACACATTCAAGGATATCATTGGTAACATGGGACCTCTACCTCATTCTTACTCAGCCGTGCATCTTCCTGCGCATTTGCTGGATAATCCCGAGAAGTATAAGTATCTCTTGCCTGGGAACTGCAAAAGAGAAAGTGGCTAAGTTGTTACCACAAAGTTGGATGCATTTTCGTAACATAGGAGGTGTTCATGTGCCGATTTTATGTTGCACCATGAGGGACTCTTATCAGGTAATTGATGATGGTCATGTGGCAGTGCTATATACAGTTAAACCTTATATGCAACAAAGTGTAGGTAAACAAGTATTCAGGGAAGCGGCCGGGTGTATATTGTCTTTTTTGGTTCATTTGAGGTGTCAGTACATTCATTTGTCAAGTAAAAAATTAATATAGGGGTGATGTGAACTCTTGGGTAAACTTGATTGTTTCCTGTCTGTATTACATAACCCTGAGATAGAACTCTTTGAATGACAATGCTCAGCCTTTTTGATTGTAGAATTGGTTTTCGTATTCTTTTGCTCCTGTTCGAGACATTTGTTCCAATTTATAAATCTTGTTTCCCAAATGTGTTGCATAGAAGGCATGTGGAAAAGTATTGAGCTCAGTTAGTACCCAACTCATTGTGTTTTTTTTTGAGATTTTATTTCGTTTAATATTTTCATATTGGGAAAAGGCATAAGTACCCTGCCCAACCTATGACCGATTCTGAAACCAATGCATGTTTAGTTAGCCATGTTAATTGAGCAAGTGATTCCAGTCACTCAGAGTAAAAGATATGCTCGAGAAATGAACATGTTTTCGGGCAGTGCACTTAGGACAGTTTGAGTTTCTTGTTGGTAATTTGGTATTTGATTCCTATGAAACAGTTGATAGTTTCATAGGTTGTATATCTTGTTGCAGACAAATGCCCCATTTCCATCTGTGAAACAATTGTTTCCATGTTCAAAACCTAAGATTACAAATCTTTTTTGAAGCAAGTAGTGATTTTCTTTGCAAGGTGGAAGCTCTTTGTACTAGTGTTAATATACTTTTTTTTCCCTCTAGTTTTTGCAGGAATCAAATCTCATCCTTGAATCAAGAAGTCATTTTCTGTCTTTGCCTTTTTAGGATGAAACTTTGATATTGTTGTTCACTACTTAATCAAGATGTTTCTTTCACCACAAAGGTGACTCATGGCAGTAATTTTTTTGATCTATGTGAAGTTCCTTACCAAACTTGAATAAACAAGTAAAAAATCAGACTTTTTGTTTTAGATTGTTTATGAAGCCTGAATATCTACAAGAACCCAACATTGTTCATCTGACAAGCATGGTGAGAGGCTTAAATATGTATTATGCATGCTTAAACATATAAATGCAAAGCAATACATATAAAAGAAATCTGTAACAGACCCTTGTAGTTCAATCTTTCCCAGACCCAGCTCATAGCGCACATCCATCTGTTGTTAAAACAGGAAAACTTGGGAGCATAAACTCCAATAATGCAAGAATTTCTTCACATATACAAAACTAGCAAAGACACAAGTATTTACCTTTAAAAATTAAATGCAAAGCGAAAAGGATATAATTATATGCAAAACAAGATATCTTTCATATCACGATGCATGAAATCAGACAATGAAAGATGCATTAGAAAGCAATAGAATCCAGTCCACACTTTTAGTACAATATAAACTAGTACAAACGAGAAACTTTCCGAAAAATTTGGGGGTCAGAACATGCTGAACAGAACAGAAAGGATATGAGAGTCTTAACAACAGAGTTCAGAACATTGAATCAAAATTTGAGCCAATTTTAATAAGCTAAGGTTTAACAGTTCTGACTCTCAAATATTGATCTCCTTGGTAGATTGTAGTAGGTTCTTTTGCAACAACTCCTTCAACTAGTATATCATCCAGCATAGTAGATATAGCAACCAATATTTCTGTTTTTTCTTTTCTTCTGTGGCCTGTAGTACTGGTGGGAAAATGAGCATTTTTTGATAAGGATATGCTGAAATTGAAGAAAGATTCCTGTTGCTGTTCAAGAGCACAATCTTGTTGAAGTATATTCTCCTTCCCAGAATGCATAAAGCATTATCTCATTGCCTTTATCACTATAGCCGGTCCAACCAACTAAAGATATTCTCTTGCGAACCAAATGGCAAATCCTGGTAGAACACAACATCAGATTCAGCTACAGATGTTATTATACATATAAAACAAAAAACACATTACCATTTACAAGGATGGGAAACTTACTGCAAGTTGGAAGTCTGGAGGAGAATCCAGTTCCAAGTTATCTAACTCTGAAATTCCACAGGTTGTGTTACCATTCTCTTGTGGTAAATGGCAAGTGCTATGAGTGTAGTCAGCAGACGGGCCAAGATTGGGTCCAAAACTATCAAGAAATGAATAATCATTATGCTCATCACACAACAGAGAATTATCAACATCATTTGCATCAGCTGCTTGTGATTCTCCAGCCAAGCATGTGGTGTACTCCATTTCACACTTAATTTTAGCATCAGAAGGCTGCCCTGGTTCTTTGGCAACTTCCACTTCCTAATCAACAAAACGAAAATCAGTGTACGAAAAAATTCTGGCAAAATGCATATAGGTAGGAAAAATTCTGGCAAAATGCAGCTGCATCATCCAATTGTTTCTACCTGATCAGGTGAGAAGGGTAAAGAGTCATCCACAATATCATCATAGGAAGGGGTTTCTCCATCTCGAGGGGGATTAGGTGTAACCGTCTTTGGAGTTGTAGGCCCAGTTTGATTGGCTCCCACACTGGCTTCCTCATTGTCACAAGAATCATTGGCCTTGACAGATTGCTTCTGCTGCTGGTAAAAGATTTTTGAAACCACATATTCACTTTCTTTTTCATCTTCATCAGGGCCCAGGTGGTACTGATGCATTACCCAATTAGTCTTTTCCTGCTTCGACCCCTTCTTAATAGTTTGATAGAGTACCATGACCTTCTTACATCCCTTTTGGAATCCATTCTCCATAACAACCTTGGTCTTTCCCGTCTTGTGCCAGCGTACATGTTCTTTCATCAAATTATTTTCATCATGAATCTTTCTACGCTTCCTTTTACCAGTTGCATATGCATTAGTAATGCGATAAAAGAAGTGAATGCTACTTCCATCCTTTTTTGCACCTAGCATAATAAGAGATTGAGAAATAAAAATCTGCCATAACATATTGATGGTTGTCCGGTTTCAACCAAAAAAACAGAAAGATGCTTGTTACAACAACTAACTTTTGCTACATTTTCATTTCTAGGTAAATGCAACCCTGAAAACAACAATAGCCTTTCCTTTATTTATTTCACCAGCACAGTTTATTGACTTGATTAATGCAGTTAAAAGCAAACATAAGCTAGTATATTGAAGAATTGGGTGTGCTACAAACCAGGAAGATTTTCAGGATGGGTATAGCAAATTCCTTCGTGAACATCAAGGGTCGGGATGAACTCATCAATGAATTTGTGTTGCTCTGAATTTCCCACCCCGCACTTTGCTTCTAAATGCTCCACGAGCTCAGCATCAGATGGATCAAATTTAACACCAACAGGTAGACCAGGCCATTCATGAGAAACCTGAATCAGAAAGCAGCAAAATATTGAAGCAGGCTTTGAGCAGCTAATTTATGATACAATTATTTGTTGGCCTAATCTTGAACCAGGGGAAACAAAAGAACTTTCTTTTCAAGAGAAATTTTCAACTAGACTAAACAGTTTGACAAAGCTGTTAAGTAAACTATAAGAGGTAAGTAAATTATGCATGAACACTTGTTAGCTTACATCCTTGTTATCAATAGAGTAGTTGCAGTTTGGGCATTGCCGCTTTGCCCCACAATCTTTGATTTGATGTGCAGCAGGGGCACTAGCATTTTTGACTTTACTCGCAAGTCCTCTGCCATTGATAAGCCAAGATCTGGATCAATAAAAAAGAAAACAGATTAGACCTATAAATCTTCTTATGGTGACATAAGTGACAAAAGAACAACAATATCATCCAACAGATTCAAAAACTTCCATTGAACCCTAAAGGAAATATACTTGACAATTAACAATACAACAACATACCCAGTGTAATTCCGCAAGCGAGGTCTAGAATGCTTAACAATTAACGATAAGTTCAGTAAATACTCTTGATAAATTCAATAATTCATCTGGTTTCACTATCAGTTTAGACCTAAGACCAACTTTTCCAAATCTTTCTATGACACTAACATATTGAACAGGTAAATAGACAAATTTCAATATGACTCATTGCAAGCAAAATTTGAACCTCCAATCCAGCAAGTGGAAGACAATATTAGGCAGATGATCAAGAGCATGAGACCATCAAAAAAATTGGGGCAATTAGAACAAATGGGGACTTCCAGCAACCAGCCAGTAAAAAGCACACATTTCACATTTGCAATTGTAAACACAGAACATGCTTTTAACATTTTCAAGTATTAAACAATCTGTTGGTGAACACAATCTGATGAAGAATAACTCAAACGCCTTTCGCGATGGCCTTTCGTATTCCAAATCGAAGAACAAATTAAAACCCAGATAACCCAAAATCCTTAATAAACTACAGTAGTATTCAGCATTATCCCCAGGAGCAAACACAAATCTTACAACGGAAGCTACCGAAAAGATAGATTTTTTTTCCCCAGAATTCTTTAAAGATTCAATTTTAAGACCATGTTTGATCATATCGAATCAAACCCAGAACAATTTTTTTCCTAAAAACACAAACTTTAAAGTTTCATAAAAAAAAATCCATCCTCACCTTCCCATTAAGGATCGAAAAAAATTCAAGATTTTTGAAGAAAATTCGGTAATCTGAGTTTCAGCGCATCTATTAAACACATTCGAAGAAGAGAAAAACTCTGGTTTTATGGTGCCTGAATTTTGCCTCCTTTCTCCACTGGACTAAGCAAGCTGGACTGTTGGAGTGTGAATGAGCGGGAAATTTTATCTTAAGAGGTTTGGAATCCGAGTCTTTAGGTTCGGATGAGCATCGCATTCATCGATGTTCCCGAACCATAGGTTTGAGATGGGCCCAGTGTTGACCGAACCTCGGGTCTGCTAGTGACTTAGCTTTGGAAGTGAAATGTCTTTTTAGAAAAATGGGTAATGGTGTTAAAAACGGTAAATTTATCTGACCCGCCTTCCTTGCTCCCCAAGCTATAAATGGAAATGGTTTTATGTTTAATTTCCACCTTTTACCTTTTTTGAGTAGATTTGTCTTTTTTGAAATATTTATATTCCATAATATTAACCGGGAAATCATATTTTATTAATACAATTATTCTATGTAAAATTTACATAGTTTTAAAGCTTAAGTCATCTACGACCCTTAAAAGTTGTCCGTATATTTTATTTAGACACCTTAGCTAGGGCTATTAGCTATTGAACACTTAAAATATTTACAATGTGTTTCTATTAAGCACAAAGTAGTGATGTGGCAAAAAATGTGTTCTTCACTTTTCATGGGCGCATGAAGATGCCCAAATAACATTTTCCTTTTTATTTTTCCTAAAAAAGTACATTTTTCTTGCTTTATTGACCTTGACATTAATTAATAATCAAAAACAATTAACTAACAATAAAAAATTTTAAAAAAAATGACGTCTTCTTCCTAGGAACAACCTCAACTATTTCCATTCACCATCTCTATACTTGCCGGTTACCTCCCATGCCACCCCATCCCACCAACTTTCTCTCTCTCTTTCTCTCACCCTCTCCAACTATTCTTCAGTTTTTTTTAGGTTTTAAATATTTTGGCAAAACTCTATTTATTTCGATGAAAGAAAATTGAATAAATTTTATTTTTGGCAAAAGTTTGTTATTATATCTTGTAACTGTGATAAATGTTTATTAATCGAAAGAAGATGAAGTCAATGGGTAGGAGGTGCTATCGATGCTGATGAACGGGAATGAAAGAGTGGGGCGATGTTTTATTTGCGTGTTGACGCTGGAGGAAAGGGGTAAAGAAGAAGACGAGAGGGTGGGGGTGGGGAGCGTTAATTAAAAGAGTTAATTTTTATATTCTTAAATTTTTTTTTTGGATTATCTAAATAGAACTTTTAAAAAATTGAATTTGACTGCCACGTGTCGTTGTTTAATTGGTACACCTATTATGTATTTGCGTTTGAGCTACACGCAATTTTGTTTTTCAACTAATTGACATTTTGTGTCTAATAGATATAAATTTTTAAGGTCAAAGTGTTCAATAGATACTAGCCTTAGTTGATGTGTCTAAATGAAATATGAAAATAACTTTAAGGGACTACAAATCACTTAAGTCTAGTTTTAACTTATATTACTCCATTATTTAACTTTAAAAAGATTCCATAGTTTTAACTTGTATTACTCCATTATTTAACTTTAAAAAGATTTCATACTCCTTTCATTTCAATTTGTGATTTAGCCACACATAATTTAAGAAAATAAAAAGAATAATTAAATCTTACGATCTTAAATTAAAAACATATTCAATGTTTCAAAAATTACTTTTAATCTTATGATCTTGAACAAAAAACTTTATTTTGTGAATCACATAACCAACATTAGTTATATGAGGCTGTCTTTTTCTTTCATCTGGTGTTCAAAGTTCATATTGGAGCTCCGACTAAATCCAGATTGCGCACTACATGGTCCATTCGGGGGTGGCGCTCACAACAAAATTTTCTCCATACCCAGGACTCGAACTCAAGACATCTGGTTAAGGGTGAAACACTCCCACAAGTGCATCACAACTCATGTTGGTATACTATTTAATTTCTTGACAAGTGGATATTTGCTTTCAGATAATAAACTTAATTTGTTTTACCGAAGATTATATATTCACGTAGTAAAGTACTTTTCCCTTTCTCTCTTTCTTATTTCCTTAACTTATAATACTATCGAGATAGGATAGGATGTTACATTATATCCTCTCCTATTTTTGTTATTATATATTGTTAATTTATATTTTTATTGTTGTAGATTATTTATTTTTAAATTAAAGGTATATCAATAAATAATTTCTTTATTTCTAAAATAAAAATAAAATTTACATACATTTTACTCTCTTCGAATCTCCTTTCATGGAAACTACCTGGGGCGTATTATTGTTGTAGGGTATGATGTTACGTTGGTAGAGCGTAAATTAATTGGTACAAGACAGTTGCAAGGTTGTAATAAATATTCATATATCACCATATTTTAAAAAGAAAAAAAGAAAAAGTTTCTTGCAGTGGACAGCACTAAATTAATCCCTTTATTTTAATTTATTTGTCATATTTTAATTTCTTACAGGGTCTTAAAAGAAAATGTTTGAATTTTAAAATTTAAAATTAAGATATAATGTATTAAAATATTTCTAGATTTTTTGATGTTATACATGTCATATACTACTCCATAACAAAAGAATTACTCTACTAAATAATTGTAAAAGAAATATTCATTTTTATATAAATAAATAAATAATTGGACAAATAAATTAAAATAAATAATATAAAAATCTCATTTTATTATTAAATTATTGAGAAACTTCCTGGTTTGGGGTTACAAGAAAATCCAACAGGATGATTCAGTGCAGAGAGCAGAACAATGATTATTTACTTTTGTTCCTGTTGATGTTTGACACGTGTAATCATCGCTGGTCTTATCAACACCTGATGTGGAGGACAATGTTCAAAGCATTTCACTCTAAAACTTCCATATTTTGTTTCGTATGGTAGAGACCCTTTGTATTTAACAGTTAAATTTCATAAGTAGCGCTATTATCGTAATACGAAATTTGGTTATAATCGAGATCGCGTGAATATAATATCTGATTGTAATAATATATCATATGTAAATGTTTTCAAAGTAGAAATTGGATGTATGTATATATTTATGTGAAGACATTAATTATATAGATAGTCAATCGAATATAACTATGTTCAATTTCGAATGGTATATGCATATAAACTTTTAAATATATCACCCTTTGAAGAAATAACATCGATTTTTTAGTGGCCAACAAAATCATTGATGAACTCCAACAATGACAACGAAACAAGTGAGGCTGCAATGGATGATAATGTCTATAGGTTTTTTAGGTATACAAATATGTGTATAACTATAATCATAGATTTTGAACTCGTCAAAACCAAATAGTACAATAAAGAACTTATGAAAGGTCTCGAAAAAGCAAGAGGACTTTAGTTTGCTTGATGCAAAAGTTAAAGCAACACATAGGCAAATGCTTTCATCTTTAACATGTTCATTGAAAGTTGAAAACTGATGCACACGCCCTGTTTTATATTAATTGGCCATCCATTTTGTCAAATATTATTTCTTATTACTAGTATAATCCTTTTCGTCCAATCACTATACTTTTATCAAAAACACCACTATCAAAAGTTCGTATTTTCACTCACAAAGAATGCTTATAGCATACTAAACCAACAACAACGGGGTAAGCTCATGTAGTGAAAGTCAAAAAGTAGTTGTCTCGACTTTTGTTTGCTGCCACTATTCATATTGAAACACTACTTATCCTATAGATTTTTTATGCAACCATATCAACAAAGTCGTTGTAGTATAGTGGTAAGTATTCCCGCCTGTCACGCGGGTGACCCGGGTTCGATCCCCGGCAGCGGCGATTTAATTTTTTATTTGATTTTTTCCTTGTTTGTGCCATAGGGCCGACAGGCGCGTTACTGACTGTTCAAATAATTGACTCCTATATTTTGTTCTTATTTTAGTAATTTCAATGGTGGACCAAACAAACATTAACTTTCACCCTCTCCCCAAAACATCCAACAACTAATTGTTTCTTTCTTGCCAACCTCTACTGTCCCTTTCCTTCCAAAAATTCATCCATCAATCTATCCTTCTCCTTTATTTTTATTTTTTTCTGTAAAAAATATCCAAATAAATCGGAATTTCCATCAATTGATCAAATGAGTCATAATTGTATCAACCAAAATCAGTTTAACAAGCCATAACCTAATCTCTCTATAAAGGTACTTTTAGCTACTACCTTAATGTTCTTCAAAATATTAGCGAGTTCAAAATTTGTGATTACACTATTTTTAACCAATAGTTTGATAATGTTAGCAAGTTCTTAACTAACTGCAGAATAGCTACATTAATCAGTTCATATAATGCGCCAAAATGACAAGAGTCAATTGAGGTTTAACAAAAGATTGGAGTACAGGTCTTTGGATGGACCTTATTTTTACAACTATAATATACATCACAGCAACCCAACTCCAGCATCCAGAAACTCTTCACAATTAAGTCAGAACACGTTCCCGCGAGTTAAAATGAGTCTAGATCGTGCATCTTCCTGCAACAACTTCCTTCACCTTTGAATTACCGTGGCTGGTTTTACTATACTTGTGTGGAAGAAAGACCAAAAGCTAAGTTATCTAGTGACATATCTGGGCTAAACATTTTGTGAGCTTACTAAAAGATAGCTGAACTCCGAGTATCTTCTACGTGATTATGACAAACTTTTCCCTTGGGGATCAGTAGCATTGGTTAAAACAGAAGAAGAACCCTCTTGGCTGATTCTCCATTGGTGTTTTAGGGGTCTCACCCGAGTCATCACGCTTGGACATTAAGGAGCTGGTACCTGGAGACTCTGGTGGTAACACATGATTCTCTGAAGTGAAAATCCTAGCTGGTATTACTGGTTCCGGAGGGGAAACTGAAGAGAGAAAATGTAGAAGCATCTGTATTATCTGAGTGAAGTTGGGACGAGTGTTTGGATCCTCTTTCCAACACGAAGTTACAATTACTGCCAAATCCTCGGGGAGATCATCTGCGCTTGGTCTCACATTCTGCAAAACACACAAGGTATAAACTTGGTTTAGCAAAACCAAACAGCTATTAATTGTTATACTAAACATCTTGCTGGACATAGTTAAGACCAAACATGGGCCCCAAGATCCTTTTTTATTTTATTTCTTGGGTGGTGCACGGTTCCGAACTCGGTGGATGATGGACAGTCCCTCTACCATTTTCCACTTAAATATAGGCTTTCGTCCCCACATCATGTGCTACACACGCTCTTACCGCTAGACCAAAGTCTCAAGTTTCTGCATTGTAATTATCCACGTATACGTGTTCTTCAGTCAAAAGTTAGGTGATTTGAGACAAAAACAACTTTTTTTAGTCTTCAGCTGTGGGACAAACATAGGTAAATTAAAGGGCATTCACCCAAAGTTGTACTAGTGTCCCCCAGTGGTCCAATTTAGTCTTTGATGTGCCCTTTGTAAAGGAGGCAGTGTGATGTGAAACCAACTAAATGCTATCACATCTTAACCTCTCTCATCCTTTTAGTTCAGGAAAATTAAAATGATGATATTGAAATAACTAGATGACAAAAACTAATAGGGAGAGAGGATTTTTACCTTAAACGCAGCTGCATAAGCAGCCTGCAAATTAGACATGCCCTCAAATGGTAATTTGTTATGTACGAGTTCCCACAGAACAATTGCAAAACTATAGGCATCTACTTTGTGATTATAATGCTTCTTCTCGCCATGTCTTAAAGTGACTGTGCTGTAGAGCTGCCACCAAAAGGAGAGTGATAAGTCAGCTCTGTATAGCCATAGGAGAAGAGAAAAAGAACGGAAAATATATTAATAAGCACGGGGATTCAAGAATCAACCTCTGGAGCCATCCAGCGATAGGTTCCAGTTTCAGCAGTCATCATCTCTGTCAATGATTCTTCTCTTGCCAAACCAAAATCCGCAAGTTTGACAGTTTTGTGGTCCGCAGTCAAAAGCAAGTTCTCTGGAAAAAAATGCAAACAGAACCCAAATCAGAAAAATGATACTAAAGGCATTGTAATTTTTAAAGGAATAACAATATCCATAAATGTTGTCAACACCCTCGATTAACAGAGAAGATTTGTAAAGTTTGAAATCATTGCTAAACCTTGACAAGTATAAGTTACACTACTAGGCAAAAGAAGACAACAATTATAATTGCTGACACTAATTGTAATTTTGCATCTTCTTGATACCTTTGTATATAGCTCATAACTTCATCCAAGAATTTTTTTTTAAAAAATCTAAAGAAGAAGGTTATGCATCTCAATTTTGTAGTAGAAACTAAAATGATCTTAACATTTTATTTAGGAGCTCAAAGAAATTATTTTTCTAACCTTGGAAGAAGAAAACAAAAGAAAGTAAAATTTCAATTTTCTCGACCACTTTATTAAAAAAGGATGATGAGTAAGCATCTTCTTCTGCAGCACTTTCAGGGGAATTTATTCCAGTTAAAGTTTCTTATGTATTCAGCTGCTTCTACCAACCGTGTACTGGTAATATTGTCAAGAATCTAGTTCCATATGATTTCACCAATGAGAGCATCTTTAGATTACTATCAAGTATTAACTTATTTGTTCAACTAACCCACAGACAAAAATAGGAACAGTGAGTAGCAAAGCCAATGAAGGCTTGAAAATGACTTTTCTTTGTTCTTATAAGCAGAACAGTTAGCAAAAGAAAGTGCACAACACGAAGCAGAGGACACAAGAAAGAATTTTAGTGCTTGTTAGTGATCTGGAACCATATGCCATATGAAATTACTTAACCAGTAATACTTTTACCATATAGGGGCTATTGAAATGTGTGCCTATCACATCTAAAAGCTGAAGTTGTTATAGAAAGAAGTGAGAACACACACTTATTTTTTCAATTGTATTCTAAACACGTCCCTTCACGTGTGAGCTTGATTCTTTTTTCATGGGGCAAGCACGTTAAAATTCTTTTAGATAAAAGGTGGTGGTGAGATTCCATCCCAAGACATTTGCCTGTTCTAGTACCATATTGAAGCATGTGACCATCGAAACACATTTACTAGAGATCAAGAACACATAAAGGTTAAAAGATTAGTGGTGATTTCAGACCAGATCGAAATGGATGTTGAAATAGTTTGAAATTGAAAATATATAAAAAAAAACAGTGAGAGAGACATATTAGTTACCAGGTTTTAGGTCACGGTGAATGATACCATGAGAGTGCAAGCACTCCATTGCACGAGCTATATCAAGGGCAAATCTAATAGCAACACCAGTATCCAAGCACCTTGGCCTCATGTTCAGCAAGTATTTCCTCAGCGTCCCACCGAGAAGAAGTTCAGTTACAATGACCATGACAGGCTCCTTGCAAGCTCCTATGAACTGTAGATGAAAAATAAAATGAAAACCAATAACCAATGTGAGCAATTCATTTAGCCGTCTTAACAACTAATCAAATAGATCATATCCAAACACAAGTTTGGGACTTAAAAGCAACCTTCACTAAGTTCTTGTGCTGAACTCTGGATAACATAGCAACCTCCCTTCCAAAACGAGATTCCCTCTTGGCAATCTCTTCGGGCGTTTCCCCTTTATGCACAATCTTTATCGCTACATTCTGGTTTCGGTATCTGAGAAGAACCCAACCAAAAAATATAACTAAAGACGCACAAAACTGCATCAGGACAGAAATTTAGGCGTTATTAATTTAACAAACTAGCACATACTTTTAAATCCCCTCACTTCAGAATTAAGAACAATATCTTTTAGCAACACACTTTGGGATTTTTTCACAAATAGCCAGTCGTATTCACTGTTTATTTTTCGAGCAGTATACATTGATTATACTCTGATTATACACCCCTATACACATACTATAAATCTAACGGAAACTTTAGCAACTATTTATTGTTAATTCTTCAAACATTTTCCTAAGATTAAACCATTGAACTAGCTGAATTAAATCTAACAGTAATGCCATACCAACAGAATCTAGCAGTACTAGTTCAGAAGTTCAAATAAACAAACAGCACTTACAAATCAGTAAAACAACAACAACATACCCAGTGTGATCCCACAAGTGGAGTCCGGCTCTTACAGATCCGTCAAAAACATAATTTTACTAACAGAGAAAGTAAACTTACTTTCCCTCATACACCTTGGCATGAGCACCCTCTCCAATCTTAGGACCAACAAACAGAAGCTTTGGATCAATTAACCATTTCGTCTCCAAATTGAACTCTTCTTCTCCAGAGTAAAACCCATTAGCAGATCCCATTTTCCAGACCCCAAATACTCTCCCCCTATAATAACTTCAAGAATGAACTAGTAGCACATCTATTTAACTACCAAAATCGAAACACTTAACAACAATTCACCTAGCATTTGAAGCAAAACCAGTAGAAAAGCAAAAAAGTTCAAGACTTTATAACCAAGAACCAGAAAACTCAGTGACCCACAAAGCAGAAACGAATCTACAACAAACCCCTGTGTTTAAAACAACAGAAGAATGAACCCAACAAACAAGAAACCCCAGAAATTCTTACTGGTTCAGTTGAAATATAATAAAAAATAAACAGTTCAGAAGAAGTAGATCAGCTGGTTTGGTTGGTGGATCAATTGGGGCTATGAGAAGAAGAAGAAAAAAGAGAGATAAATAAGGTGAAGAGTGAGTAGAATAAGGGGAAAGATAATGAAAGATAGAGATGGATGTTAAGCAATTAGGAGACTTTAGTTAGTGCTAATACTTTTTATTTATAAGTTGCTCTGGTTTCTTGATCTGCAAATAAAAAGAGGAAGGTGATGTGTGTGTGTGTGTGAAAAAAAAAGGGGGGTGGGGGGGAGGATTTTATTATCCTTTTGAATTATTTTGAGGAGACAATAGAAATTATTTAACAAGAGTAAATGGAGACAAGGAAGGGTAAAATGGGAAAATAACTAGATGCCATTGAAAAGGATATTATATTTATATTGAGATTTTAATATAAAGAAAAAAATTGTTGGAATTGGCACATGGAAGATGGAAGAAGAAGAAGCAAGTACAATCATCTGATTTTTTAAACTTTTTTTGTTGATATGGAATATAATTGATGAGAAAAAAAAAAGAGATTTAGGGATCATTTGTTTGGAGTACTTAGGAGAAAAATAATTTGAGCATAAAATTGTGTATAACTAATTTTTGATAAAGTATTTAACTAGAATAAAGTAATGAATTAATATTAAAAAAACACAGTATATCATATTTTACATAGATATAAAAATTGACTAACTATCCTAACTATTCACCCACAATAAATGATTCCCAACTGATTTGAATATTTTAAAATTAAAATAGCATTAGCCAATTCATATTTCATACAATAATAATATGCAATTTTGGATAAAATATGAGTAATAGATACAGTTATTGAGATGGTTGAAATCTTGATATATTTAACTAAAGATTTTAGAGTTGAATCATAAAAATAAAAGGGAAAAAATTATTATGAGTGACACCCCATCCCCTCCCAAATATACACTATAATGCAAAAATTCAAAATTTATTTAAGTTTCAATTTTAATATCGAATATTAACGGGAAACAAAAAAAATACTTCCTCTGTTTAAAACAATATTACCTACTTTTTTAAAAAAAAATTGTTTCAAAAAAAAATCTTTCCTTTTTTTTTTTTTTATAACATTTTGATTTCAGTTTTCCACATGTTATATTTAAAACTATAAAATTAAAATGCATTTTATACATTTGAAATAACTTTAATTTAGGAACATAAAATTAAAAAATCATTCTAATTTTCTTAAATTACATATTAAGTCAAATTAAATCTTCTTTTTTTCTAAACAGAAGGAGTAATAGTTATCCTTTGCCAGCCCCAATGGACAGTACCAAACAAATGATGAAAATGGGGTACCTTAGTACGTCCTCTATAATGTCCTCATATGTAGTACATACACTATCTTTCATTTTACATCTTCATTATATTTCCAAGTAAGTAAATCATCATCATTATTATATTGGAGAAACTAACATTTGGGGTCAATGGAGGAAAATATTTTTTAATTCTTTTTATCTTAATAGTTGAATAATTGATTTTTAATTTAATCGATTTCATAAAAAGAAATATATATGTTCACATTGCTTCAAATTATTTTAATAGGATAATAACCAAATAATTTAATGGATGTGTACAAAAGGCTGTTTTCAATTTTATGGCGTTACATTGTCTCAATTTTTTGTTAATCCTATTTTTTTATTCTTTTGGGCGACGAAATCAACTTGTATTTAGAAGTCAAAAGTTTTGGATTTTTCTGCTTGCATTAAAATTTTAAGTAACTTTTCTTCTTAAAAATAAAATAATATGCAGGTCATATCACCAATAATTTAATTGCCTTCAAATTCTCATGCTAAGATATTATTTAGAGTAAGCACAAGAAGAAAGAGGTTGACTTTTGATAGGGATCAGAACGAGAACCATTTTGACAATATATAACACGAAATGATATATTATTTGTTTGTAGAAAAAACTTACCATTGTTAAAGATTAAAAAAAAAAGAGTAAATTATTCAGGCTGACATACATATATCTACTAACCTTCTAAGAAATTCAAGTTATAAAGATATGGAGAACTTATATTATTTTGTTCTTTCGTAAATTCTGAATTTGAACTTAATACAATCTAAAAAGAAACATGCCCTAAAAACTAAATTTTAAGGCTACATTAACACATTGCAATATTGGTATTATATGACTCAAATCTCGTACCTTGTTAGAATAATAACAAATCATCATCAGTTTCCCCATTTGTCAACTTTGACGACTTCACATTGAATAACTTATAACAAACAACCACGCTCTTCATCTTCCATTCTCAACAACTCCACATTGGACAACTTATAATAAATCATAACATTTTGCATTTGTTATTCGATTCTCAATGACTCTAACTTGTACAACATTTACTCTATCACAAGTACTAGGTAGTCCTTTCCCATTCCCTAGCTAGGTAGCCATCTCTCGGTGTCACCATCCACGACACAAAAGCACACTTAAAAGCTAGTTTTTGAGGTGGAGAGAACGCAATACCATATATATAAACTTCATATCAATGCATTGAAAATAACCATGTTTTTTTGTGTATTTAACAAATAGAATGTTTTTTGGCACTTTAAAAAAGTAGTTGAATGAAAAAAAAATTCGACGACTTTGAAAACCAACGTGATTTGCTCAAATAATGTAAGTTTCGTTTTTACACCATTTTTGATACATTAGAAAAAAGATGTCGGTGTGGAAATTGCAATGAAAGAAAGAGTCAAAAAGATTGAAAATGTCATAAAATCATTTATAGTAAAAGACATATTATTCTTTTGTTTGTCTAACTAATTGGGTTTTGGTTTTGACTTTTGGGCAACTTCTTTGTTTTTTCTGTTTGGCACTACCCCCCACACCAAACAAACAAAAAAATGCTAATTTTTTGTGGAATTCTAACCTTAAATAATGACCACTTGTAAAATTTTAAATTTTGTTGTGCATATTTAAAATCGTATAACATAGTAAAATTGTCACTTACTACCATTTACAAATTATTCCTAGTCTCTTACATATAAAAATGATATTTTAAAAGATAAAATCAAATCTCCCGACTCTAATATATCTTTTTTAAAATAACGAGTCTTACTTTCAAGAATTTGGATTAAATGAGATTAAAAAATGTCCAAAATCACGTCCTCTTTTTCATTGCTCAAGTCTCAACAATTACTTTTAGTCTTTTATCAAATGTATATCATGTTATTAGTCGTAAGTCATAAGTTATAAATAATTCTTATTATTATCAAATTATTTTATTTTCATATTCTTGGTGTCATTGTCCATTATATATGTACACATCTTTTGTCTCATCTGCCTATATTTATGTTTGATTTGTTAATACTCCATCCGTGCTAATAAATTAAGCTATACCACGTAAAGAAGTGATTAAAATAAGTTGGTAAGATCTAGTAATACTTAATTAATACTATAACCAATCAACTTAATTATTATAAGTTTTTATAATATACAACAATTGCTTAATGATGTTTCCTAATTATTCCACTGCCTTTTGTCGGAGATGTACGTTTTGAAGTCATGGGCCCCTGGCCTAACTTAGAATTAATTCTAATTTGTGAGTGTAAACCTGACATATTTCCACCAAGACCAAGTGTAAATACACATATTTTGTCTATAGTTATCTATAAGTGGTAAATATGTAATTATGAATTAAGTTAATTTTTCATCATGTGAAAGAAAAGGACAACATATGATCTTATATTTAATATATACGTCTAGTGTTCATTATAAGAAAAATTTAGTGACCTGGCAAAGTAAAAATTCACAACTATCGTATTTGGACATCACTATTTGATTTGTATCAATTTTTGTGAAAGTTCTGCATGACTATTCATTTCGAAATAACTTAAAATATATGGTATCTAAAGTTACACATAGCTAAATTTCAAATATTTTTATATGAAGTTACAGTAAAATTGATCGGCGTCTTTAATCAAGCAAAAATTGTTGAACTTTAACTATAGATACTTGAATTTCAATCGTATGAAATTTCAGTGTATTTGAAATTATTTTGAAAATGCTAGACTTCTATTTTTCTACACAATGGGCTTCTGGGCTTCAAATCAGCCCAATATCGATTGCATTGGCCCAAGACCTTTACCGGCAAAATTCGGCCCTTCTATTTTGGCGCCAAGGCAGCTCCAGCGGAAATTGGCTCCGTCGATTTTGCCGCCGGAAATGTATTCAACCGCCCGCCAAACTACCCTAGTTGACTATAATCAACGTCATTCGCCGTCGACGACCTCCAAATCTTCCTTGCAACTAATTCACTCGCGTAGAATTGTATCTATTTCTCTTTTCGCTAAAAATCATCACCTTCCCAATAGATGCCGGCGAATCCGTACCATATCCGGCAGACATTTATCTTCTCATTCATCGGAATCGTCAAGCGACTATGAAAATCCGTTTAGTTGTGATTCAACTCACAATGACTTTGTACTGCCGCCAGGTCCGTCATTTACAAACCTATATCCATCTTTATACATGTGTATCAGTGTATGTTAATCCTTTATTCTTAGTTTGTTTCATGTAGGTAAGCTGCTGTCCAGAAATGTAACATGGATTGGTGTTGCCACTATTACTAGCAAAGTTCTGGTGATTATTTCCTAGTATTTTTTCAAATGTACTTATTGTTAAACCTTTAAATTCTTCTCTCAAAAGTTTTGTTGTTTTCGGTTTTTTAAATTTTTGGTTATTTAGGGGTTATTGAGGGAAATTGTTATAGCTTCAGCTTTTGGCATTGGTCCTGTAGTAACTGCCTTCAGGTATGCCGTTTACCTGACTTGAAATTTTTTCACCTTCCCCTGTTCATTCATTTCCCCATTCTCTTCTAAGAGAACAAGAGAGTGCTCTATGTTCCCTAAAAAGTTTCTCTCCTCACCATTTTAGTCTGATTGGAGTGGTGCTGTAATTACAGGTATGCTTCGGTGCTGCCTGGTTTTGCTGCATCAGTTCTTGGTGGTGAGTAGAGAATAAAATAAAGTACATGGTTTATCTATCCATAAGAGTATTGAGATACAAAACATAATAGCATTGTCTTTAGAGTTGGGTTCACTTTGTTTGTGTATGCATAATTATATTTTATTCTCTTTAGTCAAAACTTGGGTACAAGTAACAGCCATCTTTTTCTATAAGTAGTGTGTTGTTACCAGCTGCAGACAATATATTTCTAAGGAAAAAGGGCAACTCATATATAAAAAAGTTTGTTAGCTCACAAAATGTTTTATGTGTAGGAGATGATACGAACATTTTGATCACTGTCTCCTTACTTATGCAGGTGTTAATGGCCCTATTCACATCACAATGACAACTACCTTAAGGCTAGTTGCTATCTCTGTATCTGCTACTTTCTTGATTGCTAAAGCTGAATTCAGAGTGTTCTGCACTCTAACTGCTACAGAATTATGTTTACCAGGAGCCAAAGGCACCATATTCCTGTTGTCGCCATATTCATCTAAAACAGCAGGAAGATTGCGATACTTGAATTTTATGTGTCGCTTCATGTGATAACCCAGGATTCCTTGTGCTGCAGCACCCACATAACATGACAAATTATGTAACAAAGAGTAAATCCTCTGGTCATTTACCTTCTTTCAACATTGAAGCTCTTCTGGATTAGACCTCGGAGACCAACAGGGTTAGTTAGATAAAGAGCTGTATATTGAAGTTTAAGTCCTCTACATACATAAAACTTTAGTTTCTTTGTCGACGGGCATGTTTAATGCTTACCTAACTTGCTAATGAATGATTCTGCGGGTAGATGCATATCTTCAGATGTAAGTGCAAGTGTTGTAGACAATGGTATCTTGTCTTCTCTCATGATAACTAAATCTACCTGATATTAAGTATGAGTAGTGACACGTTCTGGACAAGGGGGAGCTCTATGGTGACTTTCACATTGTCCCTTTTTTATCCTTTCTTTTAGTTGACCTTTATCCTTCATTGCTACCTACAGTTCTATAAAATTTTGAACCAACTTCAAAGACTTTTGAGCTACTTTCTCAGTAGTTAAGCTTTTCCATTTTACCCTGTGACTTTGTATGTGGGATTTCAGAATCAGTTAAGGGAAAAAATTTAGACGAAAGGTATAAGATTAGTAAGCAAATGCTTGTGCTGTTCGGAGCATGATAAATAAAGTATTGATCGCCTCTTTATCAAGAGCGAGCTTGCTATGGAGGTTTGGAACCATTTTGATTGTCTTTTCAATATAAGATCCTTCCAAATGGATTCCATTCAGTCCCGGCGGTTTAACAGATCTCGCAGGAAATCCCAAGATGGCTAGGTCACGTCTATGCTTGCTATTTTTCAGTTTGGGAACTCTGGAGGGAAGGCAATAGCAGTAAATTAGAAAGCCCAATATCTCAACCGGCTGCTATTATTCAAAAAATTACAGACTGTCTTGAGAACACATTTCTTACTTCTGACTTACTTATAGAAAAAAACATTTCTTTACTTCTGTTTTTGATTGACACTGGTAAGAATATTAAAAAAACATTTCTTACTTCTCACTTATCACAACTGATGATCTTCAGTAAGCTTCCAGAGGATCGTCAGAAGAAGCTGTTTAAGCATGCAAATACCATCATGATCCTGGTGTGTGTATTCTCACTCTATTCTTAGTACCTTCTTGACTCATCTTTCATAGCTAAAAATGTGTTAGCATTTAGCAACAAAGTGAATTTCATGCAGGTAGGAGGTCTGTTGGCTGCCCTAGTGCTCGTATATTCTGAGTCTATTATTCATATATATGCACCAGGGTAAGACGGTCTAAATCCGATTTATTTATGTGCTATATAACTCGCAAAATAATAGGATTTAATGACCTGGTCTCCCAAACTGTATTTTTGCAATTTTGCTTCATTGATATTTTGAGATCTTAAATGGAATTTTTATCTCAAAATAGTGTGAAACAACTCACAATGAAGGATGAACTGCCTCTCACAGGCTTTTGATTTCTACTAAGTCTTGACCTCTCTAGTCTCATTTTCTATACTCAAAGATCTCTAGTGCCTTCTTCCAACATTTGATTCTTAATTTCCCTGCTCATGCCAAGTTGCAGGATCTTTATTTTGCCTTTGCTTCTCACTGAAGGTTGTTCCCCCAGTATTTTTTAAATTAACCTAGACCAGAAAATTCTTTTACTGACATTATTAGAATTTATATGCTTGTGATTTTCTCTTGCTGATTGCACTTCATTGATTCATTTTCAGTCTGTGGACCTCAGCTGAAAGCCAGACAACAAGTCGAATAGCTATCCAACAGGTAATGAGTTTATTATTATGCAAAATTCAGCTTGAGTTTTGTCCTACCATTACTTATCTGGCCATGATTGTTTAGTCAATTATTTGTCTATTATCGCAGTTTTCTGTGACCTAAAATTAAATAAGTCCCTTCTGTATGCGTACTTCCTTTACTTTGTATCAACATGCCGATTGGAGCTTGTATTACTATTAGTCTTTGTTTCTGCAGTGGGTACTTTCTCCTTTCAGATTGGAGATCTTTACTATCTTAACTAAATTTCACATATTTTTCAGTTGAAATTAATGACTCCTTGCATAGTTTTAGCTGGCCCTGTTGGGCTTGGATTTGGTTATATGAGGTAAGATAATATTTAATGTTTTTCTATTTGCTTTTCCTATTATTAGTTGTTCTTTGAGCACCTAAGAAAATATTTATATTTTTTTCACTCCAGTGCAAAAGGAGAAAATGTCTTTCCGGCAATTAGCCCCACCTTGTCTAGCTTGCTCCTGATTGCCAGTGTAAACTTCTAACTTGTCGTAGCCCCAGTATTATATCATTGAAATTAGTTCTTCTATATCTCGTAGTAGATTCTTCTAGACTCTGACATATAAATAGTTTTAATTTGTCATAGTGCCTCATTTACTCCTATAGCGGACAGCTGGATGCCTTTTGTTCTGGTAAAGTACTCTCACAGTTACTTACGTGATGTTAAGTGAGAATGATTATGATTTAAGTTTTAGATTTTTTTGAATAGGCGGTATTCTTTTATCTTGCGGAGCTTCACTTGGAGTAGTCATTCAATGGATTATACAGGTCGCCATTGCTCACCTCCGACTCTTTGATACCCAGGTTTATTGTTTAGGGTTAAAAGACAACCTTTCCATGTTTTTCATATACTTGACATTTTATGCTCGAGTTTAGGTTCTATTGCTAAGAGGAACATGGCATGAAGTTATTTCAGAATCATGGACTGACGAATTGAAGAGCGGGGATATTTATGACGTACACCTCTTTGTCCTTCCACTTCGTTTTACATTCATTTCAATCAGTTCATTGCATTGATCACTGTTCCTTTTCTTTTTTCTTAGCTTTTCTCGATTCTGGTACCAGCAATCTTCAATTCAGGCTTGGCACAAATAGCATCATTTACTGACCTCTGTTTCGCATCTCATTTTTCTGGTGCAGCTGCAGGTCTTTCATGTAAGTGAAAGTGATTTTTTATGGCAATGTCCATGCACAACTTTTTGACCTTTGTAATGAGAAGAAGGCCCAATAATTCCTCCTTGTTGAGGATATATACAACAACAACTATGCCTAAGTCCTAAATAAGTTGGGGTCGGCTATGTGAATCCTCATTTTGTCATTAAAACACATCATATCATCGTCATAATAAATAAAATAAAAATGAAAGAATAACCACTTTCTAATCTGAACTATTGAGACCAAAAACAAAATTGCAAGTTTTTTCTGAGTATGACATGCTTGAACAGTATAAATATTTGATAACACAGATGATCAATATAACTTGTATGTTTGTGAAAGGATTGTACTGTAATTAATTGTCAAGTGGTGATGGTATTGTGTAATTAATTGTCAAGTAGTATTATTAGCTTCTCTTTTGTCTGAAAGAATAACTTCCAAAATAGTGGAACAACCTTTTGAATCTTTTATCGATCTATGTGGAAGAATATCAGACGTTAGTGAGTGACAGTGAGACAAGTTTTTTAATGTTCCATGCAGGGCACTGGTTTTTCCATCCTTTTTACTGCATTGGAGCACTGTTATACCCTTTCCCTTTTCCCATTTTCCTGTTGGTTCTTTTTTGTGGATGCCCTAATTCTCATTTCATTATTGATATTGTCAAATTTTCAGATGCTTTTCTTTTGGTCATGGCACCTTTGGGTTTACTCTCAAGCATTGTTATACTGCCTCTTTTGCCCACATTTTCAGGACTGATAAAGGTGCTCATATTTTGACTTTGTGACGATCAGTGACGCTATGTTGTTACTCTTACATTTGTATTTGTCTACTAACTCCAGATTGTTGTGGCAGACAGAGTCATGGCCAACCCTAGTAGAGAAGATAAACAGAGGTGTCCTGCTTTGCATGGTTAGGGCTTTTATCTTAGAAAACATGTTCATCTTGAATGTTAAGGGATGGATCAAATTCATAGTAATTTCTAGTAATGGTGCCACGTGGATCAACCTATCAATCAAGTACTATTCAATTCTAAACTAGTTGGAGTCAACTGTTTGAATTTTCTATATCCATTCCACTCTATTTGGACCATTTCAATAATGTAGTGTAGATTTACAAACTAAATAGTTAGATTTTTCACCAACAAGTGAGTTAACAAGTGTACTTGGTTTCTGATTGTCTGACCGTTTTCCTGTTTTGATGCAGGTGGTTCTCTTGCCGATTATTTCTGTCATGAGTAGCTTAGCTGATCCTATCATCCGTGTGTTGTTTGAGCGATATGCATTTGATTCTTCGGCAAGTGCTTTAGTTTCTTCTCTTTACCTTTTCTGTAAGTATTGATAACTTGTCAAATTAGGATGTCTGAATTATAATTTTACACTTCTTGAGTATTCTGGATGAGGGGCTTATAAATAAGAGCACATTTGTACTCGTGAGGGCTGAATCTATAGTTTCTTGACATATATATAAATTTATTTTTTGGTATAGATTCTCTTGGGTCACCATTCTTGATTGTCAGAGAATTGGTAGTTGCAGTGTTTTATGCCTTTGGAGATGGGCTGAGGCCTTTCCTGGTTAGTATTGGAGCCATTGCGCTAAATGCTATCTTGGATTGGTTCTTTGTTCACAGATTACACATTGGAGTGCAAGGATTGGTTAGTTACTTTACCTATTTTCTTGCAGTAAATGTAGTAGATAATACTCATGCTTAAACAAAATCTCATAGCTAATTGTACTTATGAAGGCACTTTCAACATCACTCACAGCTGCCTTGTCTCTCATTACTCTGATCCATCTTCTTCGAAGGAAGGTTGGAGGTAAAACGTAGAAGCATGACTGTCAGTCCAGCAAAGCAGTTTATCTTTTTACTCTGTTAAATGTAATTCTGGTTGTACTTTGCAGGGCTTTTCCTCCTTCATGAATTGATAAGTCCTGGTTTGTTTCTATGCTTCTGTTGTGTCATCTCAAGCTTTGTTTCGTCCTTCAGTTATGAAAATATCTCCAAAATTTTCCTCTCCGAGTTTATCACAAGGTTTGCCCTTTTTGCTTGGACCTGTGATATATGCCATGTGTATAATCATAATTTTGGTTATTCGTTCATATTGTAATCCAGGTTATCTAGGATCCAAGAACTCTACTGCATAGTATCAGCTGCTGCTCTTGGAATTATTGGCTTCTTTGCTCCTCTTGTGTTAGTATTATATTTTTCTAGATATAAGTTGGAGCATAATAATAACTTGAAATGAAAAGAAATGTTAATGCACAGTTCCTTAGTATTTGGTCCTAAACTACTTGTTCTATTCATTTAAGATTGAAGAATTCAAACAATTCAGAATTTTGATGCTCGTTGGAACATCATACCATTTTAATTGGCGTAATTTTCTGAGACAACCTCGCAATACGTTACAATTTTACTGAGAGTGTCAAACATTTGAAGATTAACATATTCTGGCAATGCTCGTTGCTGTTGCCTGATTTTGCGGCATTAGCTGATTGAGTCCACCACAGTTCCTTGTTTGCTTCTTGTCTTGCCTCTGCTGAAAATGGATACATCTACAACTAGAATTAGACGTTTTGCTAGAATTAATTTGTAGACTCTTGATTCCTGTTGTTATATACTTTTGCATACATTTATCCCAGACTTGCCTGATCAAATGGATTTGGGATGGTAATGGATTGAATCTCAACAAATAAGTACATAAGGCTGGGCTTTCTCATTGTATCTATCTTGTGTAAGATCCAATAAAAATAATAATAATCAAGTATCATATTAATTTAGTACTATAATCTTCAAACAATTAAAATAACTACAATTTCAAAACCCAATATACTACAATAATGCCAACACTAATCTTACTTCTCAAAGATGAGATTCAAAGAATAGACTACTCCTAGAATCTTTTTGAAGCGCCTGGTTCTTTGAAACACAACATCGTCCATTCCTCACTTCAGAAAGAAGCAAAATTGAGCAGAGCAACACTCTTTTGGGAGCACGGGTTGAAATAATGAGTGAGATCTAGCAACAAGTTTAAACCGATCTCCATAATGGACAGGGACTATAGTAAAATCTTAGACCATATTATGGCCAAGCTTAGCGCCGTTTATAAATGCAAGCCTTGAGCTCAGGCCAATTAATCTCTTTGTCTACTGAATTCTGTTTTTCCTGTTGAGAGAGAGACACACAGGCAATCAGCACATATTTCCAAGTCTCAGAAGAATCATAAAACTAAATTATGCATCAAATCAAACCTTTTTCTTTAAGTAGAACAGCACAAACATTTTGTTAGAGAAATCCTGCAGAAACATAGACAAGCTTTAGAAGTTGTAGTAGATTTCATCAACTCATAACGAAAAGAATTGGAATAGACCTTTGACTCAATGGTAAACCCAAGCTCACAAATAGCTTTCAAAAAATTGTTTGGGTCTGCTCCTCCTGTAGTTGGATCAAGCCTGCTTTTAACTTCTGCTATCAAAAGCCACCCCCTGGAAACAACCATCCAACTCAGTTCATAAACTAAACTATCTGATGAAGATATGTATCTTACAACTTAAGCAAGTACTGCATGCCAACCTGGGTTTAAGAACTCTGAGTGCTTCCTGAAGAAAGCTTGGATAATCGGTTCCCATCAATGAAAGACAAAAGATGGCCACATCAACTGACGAGGCCTCTAGAGGGGTCTGCCAAAAGAGCAGTATTAATTTAGAACAATGTTCCTAATCATTATGTATTCAATATACTAAACTTAAAGGCAATTCAAACAGCAAGAAACTCTATTAGCAAGACTCCAAGCGAAGCTCATACATTTGACATGTCACAAGCAATGACTGAAGGATCATGTGCAACAAGATCCAAAGACCACACTTTGTTCTTTACACTTCTTGCCAGCCGTGCATCTCCTGAAATAGGTTGGACAATCAATGAGTCACACCACTGCAAAAGTGACCAACACATGAAATTTGTTGCTTCCTGATAATTTGAGACCCATACCACAGCCAAAGTCAGCAACAATTAATGAAGGGCTATGATCCTTTAGCCATTTTGTGATTATATTAACAGGTTTTTCTGGCCAATGTAACATTTGCTCCTGATACCCTGCATGATACTGACGAGCTAAGTATGATTAAGAACACGAAGATACTACAGGGTGAGGGATACTTAACAAGAACTCAAGAAATACTCCAGGATATTTCATAAATTGCAAAGCAACCTGAAGTTGAATCAGACTCAGAAGTTGCAATCCATACAATTCTAGAAGGGGATATTAGAAACCAGTCATCACACAGGGGTAGTTGTTGAAGACAGTAAAAATCTTATTAGGAGTGATTAGTCTGTTGTTACGAACATGTGGTCAGGGAGAAAAATGAAGTAATTGCTCTTAGAAGCCATCGTTGATAACAAACGTAGTCTTTCAAACAGTTCCTATGAGGGATTACGTACAACTTGGTCTTCTGAACAGCTCCTCTCAAAATATTAACATCTTCGTTTCTATACAACTTTCATAAGTTTATTAAATATGCCAAACTATGATACTTTCTCTAAACTATTACTATCATAATATGTAAGTCAAATACCAATAATAAAGTCACTGTAAGAGGCTAAGATTCCTTATTGAACAAAGTAATATTGGATAGAGGGGGTGCAATGATCCTTTGTTTTAACTTCTCATCCTCTTTTTGTTCTCACCGATCAAATGCAAAACCCTTACTACTCATCCAAAGCAACCTCCTTCCATTTTTTGATGAAACGTTATATACATTACGGATCTTATCTAACTTAGTGGTAAGGTTAATACGTATGCAATTGGGCCAGCTCTATCAAGTACTTCATAAGGCCCAACATTTCGAGAACTAAGTTTCCCTTTCTAACCAAATCTCATAATTTTCTTCCCCGGAGAAACCTTTAAAAATACCATATCACTCACTTGATATTCAATTTGAAGTTTCTTAATATCATCATAGGACAGTTTATCTATCTGAAGACCTTGATAATTTTTACTTTGTTTTCAGCTTGTTACACAATTTCAGGACCTAAAAGTTTGTTTTTTCCCACTAAATCTCTTGCAATCAAGTTCAGTCTAAAGCAATCTCAAATCTAAGAAACTTGAGTTATCACGTTCAAATAGAAGTACAAAAAATATTGGAGAACATGATTCTTACCACATTAAAAAGTTCCGGATTTTCCTTGAAATAATTGAGCGCCTCATCTCCACTGGATTTTAAAAAAATAACAAAAAACAAAGCAATTACGACACACAATTCGGAACATATTATTCAGCAAAAAAATTGCAGCAACTTGGGAAGAAGGTAGACGTACGAGCAAGTGTAGAGTTTTTCATTAAGCATACGGAAGTGTCCTCCTGATAATCTCGCCTTCATCTGCGTTAACTCCACAAGTATCAAAATCTATTTGTACAAATACGAACATATATAAGGAGAAATATAATTAGAACCTTATCGAGAAAAGACAAAGGTTTCTTAGTTTTTGAGATCGCCACATTCGAAACCATAGACTGATTCACGCCGGAGACCTTAGAAGGATCGTCTCCGGCCTGAGTAGTAGACTTCTTATGAACCTTTCCTCTCTTCCGTTTACGACTCCGCTTTGCTTCTTTCATCTCCTCTGAAGTTTCTCTCTTCTGCTTCTACTGCTGTTGCTGTTGAGTTTAGGGATAGTTACTAACGGGCTTTAAGTTTATTTTGGGCCGGTGAATCTATGGCCCAACGCCTACACAGTATCTCTTTTAAGTTTATTTTGGGCCGGTGAATATATGGCCCAACGCCTACACAGTATCTCTTTAGAATTTAGTCAATTCATCAGACTAGTTCCATTTTACACCCAAATTTTCCAATATAGCTTGCTTGGTGTTTCTTCATTCGAAAATTCATCCATGATTAATTTTCCATATAAGTTTGTATATAATTTAACTTTACTAATCACCCATGTGAAAAACTTTACAAATTTATATGTATATATTTTTGGACCAAATATAATCCATATTTTTATATATAAAAATATATATAAAAATGAGACTTTTGTCCTGTTTAATTGATTCATAGATCAGAAAACAAGTGTTTTTTGCCTCATTGTTTGAATGCGTCTTACTATAGTTAGGTTGTTAATTCTGTTGATTTGCTCCTGATGTTAAATTGAATAATATTGTTCTCATAACAAATAAATTAAAAGAGTGGAACAATAAAACAAGAGATTAATAAAATCTGAAAACCACATTGAGAGAGATCATCAATGAATACATATAAGCCAAAACAAGTACTTAATATTAAAAAGTACAATTATTCATGTGACAAAAAAGGAGAAAAAGTTTTTTTTGTTAAAATACACAAGCCAATGCCCATTCTCCAAAGGGAGGTTGCATTTGAGTTAACTTGCATGCATTGCAAACCCAGCCATCATTGCAATCACTATCAACATTGCAACTCTTTCCACAAGTTACTATATCTGTGAGAGAAACTAACTTTTTTTTCATCAACATATTTGGTGCCATCTCTTCAAACCCCATCACTGCATATCAAAATTTTACCCAAGAATATCAAATCATTAGTAGTAGAGAAAATGGTCAAATACCCATCCAATCTATATTTGGATTTTTAACTACACACTTATACCTCACGGGGGTTCTATTACTCCCAAAACTATTTTAAATTAGATTAAATACCCCCTTAAAACGTGATAACCAGCCATCTGCCTTGTGGTGAGGCACACGCGCTGACACGTGTGTTTCACCAATTAAACTTTTTTTAAAAAGTTTTCTCTCCTTCTTCTTCATCAATCTTTTTGCAGCCCTAATTTTTTTTTGTGAAAGCTTGATTTGGAGAAACTATTAGGGGATACATTGTGGGTTTTCTTTTATTTTTTTTTATCTTCCTCACAAGATAAATACTTGAATAACATGCTTTAATTTGAACACTTTTGTTTTGATATTCTAATTGATGATTGATTTAATTTGTCGGAGAAAATTCGATGATGATGGCGGCGGCAAGTTAGGGATGAAAATAGTGGAAGCGTACTCTTGACTCTTGAAATAAACCCAGGTTAAGTGGAAATAGTGAAAGAGTACCTAGACTCTTGAAATAAACCCAGATCATTTTTTCTCAAATTTGATCCAAATTTTTTTGGGATGATATAAATATTTATAAATATATCTACAATTTATTTGGATTGATTGATTTTGTAAGAGTGTTACATGAGTTTGAAAATTTGTTTGGAATGAACAATAAAGAATTCGGTAAAAATGGTGGTGGCAGCAACGACTACGGCGGTGGCAACACCTGTTTAGAGGTGGTGAATGATGGAGAGATTTGTTTTATATTGCTATGGAGAAGAAAGAAAATAAATAAGAAAAATAACTAATTAAAAATACATATATTTATTGAAAAAATATATTAAAAATAAAGTTTTAGTAATAGTTTTTTATGTTCACTCTCTCAAAGAGAGTGAAATACACTCACATTGCCAACTAAGCATTTAGGGAGATAATTATTACAGTTATAAACAGTTCAGGTGGGTGATAGGACTCCCGTAAAGTTAAAGTGTGTAGTTGAAAATCCGGATATAGATTAGGGGGGCTTTTGACCATTTTCTCTTAATAGTATAATATAAACTTGAAAAAATATGATTTCTATGCATCCATTTGACTTGACAGAAAGTTTAAGATTTTCTTTTTTTGTTTTGAAATTTGTAATTTAAAACACTCCTGAAATGTAACAATTCTTTTTTAGACAGATTAAAAAAGAAAGTGTGTCACATAAATTGAGATAGAAGTAGTACATAATAAATAACACATATATGTTGCTCATTAATATTTGTTGTACTCGTATTTGATTCTCAAAAGAGTACGCTACTTTCAAAAGATTTGACACGTATTAATTGATATTTTTAAAGAATTCAAACATAACATTAGATATGTTTATCTTGTTAAAATTTGAAAGAGATAAGAGAAAGATTGATATATATATATATATAGCTAGTCACATACCAGAAGTTGCTAGGAGGAAAATGGTGAAAGAGAAGCAAAAATATTTTAGCAATTCTTGTCCACTAGCCATACTAACACAACTTCAATTTGGATTACGAATGGAAGAGGGTATTTATAGTTATTTTAGCAAGACTCATATATTTTAGTACTAATTAATTTGAAGTTTTTGGGACAACTTGTTTCAATTTTTTAACAATTTAGCTCCCTATTATCAGGATTCATGAACATGTCACTGAAATTGATGATCATACCACTAGTAGGTCATTACATCAGGTCAATATTTAAATAAATAATTATTTTTAAAAAAAAAAAAATTAATGTCAAGACCTTTTATTTTCTAGTTGGTTAGTTTTTTGGGATCTCACTTGATAAATTTTTTCCACAATATATAAGAACTAAGAAGATATAATATAATTTCATTTCTTGACTTTTACCAACAATTAGAGTGTGATTAGAAGCCATTCTTTTTAACGTATTCCCCATAATTGATAAGTAATCGTGATTACTCTTTTAATTATTCTCATTTCTTGAATTTAGAGAGCAATTGACCATGATTATTACAAGTTATTCTTATTTAGATATTTCTCATTCAGAAGGAATCCTGATTCAATTTCTTAATCTCATTTCTTGACTTTGTAGAGCAGTTGACTTGCTAGGTCTTTTTTCTTTAATCTAAAAAAAAAGACTTGTAAAGTCTTTTTTTAATCTTTAACCAAAAAAAAATTATGACTTGTTAAGTCTTTTTTCTTTAATCTAAAAAATAATGACTTGTTATTAATCAACTACTGTCTGCCGTGTATTCTTTTGCTGGCAAAATTCGATTAAATTTGAATTTGTATCGAAAAATCTTATTTTATATTTAAGTAACTGAAAATTAAAAAATACTTACCAGGCTAAATGTAATTTGATTGAACGGTTTATCTCCTGGGACTTATGAGATCACCGGAAATTGTGTTGAAGGTCGTCGGAGTATGTAGAACAACCAATTTTCTCACTCAATTGCATTCTTTAACTATCAGAACTTACGACACTCACTTGGCTGCAAAAATAACCGAGTTATATTTCGAGTTGTTACCTCTTCAAACTGCGCGTAAGCTGTTTGATGAAATTCCTCACCCAAATCTATACACCTGCAATCGCATTCTGCAACGCTTTTGTGGAAAGAACCGATATGAGGAAGTATCATCTCTGTTTACGTCTATGTTTTCATTCGAAAAGGTTGATCATTTTACTCTACTCTTTGCATTAAAGGCGTGTTCTGCATTAAAAGCAACAAATTTTGGCAAAACAATTCATGGGTTGGGGAAGAAATATGGTATCATTCATTCAAACATGTTTCTTGGATCAGGCCTCATTGACATGTACTCGAAATGTGGAAATATGGATGATGCTTTTCGCGCCTTTGAGGAATATACAAAACCGGATATTGTTTTATGGACTACTCTGGTTACTGGATATGAGAAGAACTTTAAGCCTGATGAAGCACTAGCTGTTTTTACTGGAATGGCGATGGCGCATTGCATTAGTTCAGACCCAATAACTCTTGTTACTGTTGTCTCTGCTTGTACTCAGTTGTTGAATTTGAAAGCTGGAAAAAGTGTTCATGCACATGTGTTTCGAATGGGTTATGAAGGTTCCCTCTCTTTATCAAACGCTCTGCTGAACTTATATGCGAAATCTGGGTCCATGTTTTATGCAGGAAATTGGTTTAGGGTGATGGAGGAGAAAGATGTAATCTCATGGAGTTGTATTATCTCCTGTTGTGCTCATAATGATGCTACTGATAGAGCTATAAGTCTATTTGATGAGATGATTTATAAAGGAATTGAACCCAACTCCGTAAGTGTAATCAGTGCTTTGCAAGCATGTGAATCTTGTTGTAATTTAAACAAAGGCAGGCAAATACATGAATTAGCTTTTCATAAAAGTCTTGAACTTGATAAATTGGTCTCCACTGCTTTGATTGATATGTACATGAGCTGTTGTTCACCTCAGGAAGCGATTATCGTATTTGACAGGATGCCCAACAAAGATCCTGTTTCTTGGTTTGCTCTGTTATGTGGTTGTGTTAAAAATGGAATGGTCAACAAATCTATGCAAATATTTTGTGACATGATGGCCAGCGATATCCAACCTGATGCTACTGTGATGGTTAAAATTCTTGGAGCTTGTTCTGAGTTGGGGGTTCTTCAATTGACTTCTTGTCTTCATAGTTATGTAATTAGAGGTGGGTTCATCAGCAATTCGTTCATCGGAGCTTCAGTTATTGACTGTTATGCAAAATGTGGTAGCTTGGATGAGGCTATCAAGGTTTTTGAGAGATCAACAGATAAAGATGTTGTTATCTGGAGCTCCATGTTTGCAGGCTACGGAATTCATGGGCAAGCTAGGGAATCAATTAAGTTATTTCATCGTATGGTTACAGATTCCACGGTGTGTCCTAACAAAGTTACCTTCCTTTCAATATTAGCAGCTTGTAGTCATGCAGGTTTTGTTGAGGAAGGGATTGAATTCTTCAACATAATGTTAAATGGGTACCAACTGATGCCAGAATCAAAGCATTATGCAATCATTGTTGATCTACTTGCACGAATCGGAGAATTGGACAAGGCTATGTGCCTCATTAACCAAATGCAGTCACGGGTTGGAGTACACGTATGGGGGGCCTTGCTTGGTGCTTGCAGGATTCATCAGAATGCAGAGATTGGAGAAGTCGCTGCCAGGAATCTTCTCCAGTTAGATCCAGATCATGCTGGATATTACATCCTGTTATCAAATGTGTATGCTGTTGATGGGAAGTGGGATGATGCAGCTGAACTTAGAGGTTCAATTAAAGAGAGAGAATTGAAAAAGATAACTGGCCAAAGTGTTGTTAGACTTTAGGAATGAGGCTCACGTCGTTTTACACAACGGTGGATATCACAGGGACGTAAGAGCATATCTATGGTCCTAATTCAAACATTCTGCTGCATATAGTTCTGAAGTTTGATACATAAGACATCTGTGATTTGAACTCAAAACCTCAACTGTTAAGAGGACGAAATCTATGTCAAACATTTCTTAGGTTGCATCGATGAAGTAAAGACACCAAATATATCGCTACTGCTTGCTAGCTCTGACTTTTTTCCATGGTGGTCAAAGGGAGCGGGCTGAAAAGACAATTATATCACCCGGTTTCACAAGAAGAAAAAAGCAAAAACTCCCCATAACACATCACATAAAATCCGTTGACTCCAAAGCAAGAGAAGTAAAAACTATCATTCTACATGTAGCAATCAGTTGGCACTTCATATTTATCAGCCCCTCTAGTTCTTACTGGGAACGAGCAAAGGAGCTCATCTCCATTGTCGAATTACAAATCGCATTTAATTCTCTCAATATACCAAATATGTATGCATTTTCAGTGTCCGAGATTATCTCGAACATTATTACCTTTCTACAAAACCTAGATACCCGAAAACTCTTGAGCACAAAGTTTGTCCCGAGTTAACATGCTTCACCGTGACTTCTTGTAAAAGCCATAAGCCACAGCGACAACAGCCACTGCTCCAACCACACCTACAGCTGCGAGTATTTCACGCTGCTCCCATTTGCCGAACCAGTTTGAAACTGTTCCCTGCCCTTTCTCGTTCTCTTTCTGCTCAGCACTTGCATCTCTACAACAAGAAACTCCCGCAGCACCTTGGCAACAGCTGAAACTAGTTACACTACTCTCCTGACTTCCATTTTCAAGAGGCTTCTTTTCTTCATTGGTTACTTCAGGAACCTTCTGTTCATCCACTTTATCAGTTACCTTCTCATATTGTCCCATTTGGCCCCTACAGTAGATCAGAGTAGAGTTATATCACATCTGTGATAACAGCAATTTAAAAAATAAAAGCAACATATCAATTTTCGCAGCAGTGCTGAAGACGTTTCCTCCATCCGTAAATTTTAGAGGTCAAAGAAGCATGATGTAGGCCAACCAAACCATCAAATCTAGCAAATAGTGACCCCATTGAGGCAATTAATCCTAATAAAGGGGTATGGTTTCCCCCAAGCAGTCCTCATAGAAACTAGTCCAACCATTATGGAGACAGATCCAGATATAGCCACAATCAAGGACTAGTTGACTGTTTAAACATAAAGAATTCTTACTACGAGACAAATAATTAAGAATTAACAAGTTTCCCTCCTGATCAAGTAAAGATGATGAGATGCGGAGAAAGGAATAAACTCCAAGTTTCTGAAATTTAGTGGCCCATTATATGGGATATATAATATAATACTTTCAACATACAGCATCCATTTGACCTTTTGGGTGGCCCAGTGGTTTGGGCTTGGGACTTCCATGTTGGAGGTCTCAAGTTCGAAACCCTTGCCAGCGAAAGCAAGGAGTTTGTCTTCTGGGTCGAGCTCGTCGCACCGGGCTTGCCTAGTGCGGGTTACCTCTCCTATGTGGTTTGCGAGCTATTGCATAGGAGCGGTGGTTTTACCTTGTGTGCACCCAAATGATAGCGGCTGCGGGTTTCCCTTGTCATAAAAAAAAAAAAAAACATACAGCATCCATTTGATTTTTTATAAGGTAAATAATTTTATTAATAATGGAAAAATCCGCCCACACAATTTCCAACTGATAACACTCTTAACCCAAGAGTATGTTCTTTCTGCAATGGGAGCGGGATCACCTTGCCACTAGACCAAATAGTATGGAAAGAAATCAAACTTTGACACGCTATGAGATAATCAGATAGCAAAAGTAAAGGAGATTTTTTTAAACAACAGACCAACCAACTCTCTACCTGTCTTAAAATCGATGCTAAGCATAGGCACCCAACACCAACCAAATAGGGACAAACAAACACAGATCCAGATAACAAGGGATCCATCATCTTCTGATACCCCCCTTATGCACTGTTAACAGCCATTTCTTTATCCTAATTTTATAAGAGACAGCCTTTTGTTACTTAATTAGTAGTAAGAGGAGTAACTGAGTGATAATAAATTAAATAAGTATAACATTGTTCCCATCCTAAATAGGAAAAGGAAGCAACTGTTGCTCCCTCAAAATGAAAGGCAAGACAAAAATGGCATAGGAATAAGCACAATTGCAGTTAAAGAGTATGTTGAGCACAATCTCATAGTTGAAGAGTAATATATACATCTACCTAGAATTAAAACCATGGAAAACATCAAGATACTTCCTCATGATTAAGCTGTGCCATGAAGCAAAACAGCACTGAAGCATGCAAATGAAAAACAAAGGAGAGGACAACCAATACAAACCTCCAAAGTCGTTCAATGACTTTTCCCTCTCCAATATGCTCATCAAGCAAAGCAGGTACATCACTTGGCGTAACATAGCCATACCTGCATTACCACAACATAGAGCACATATAACATGTATGTAATGGACAGTCTAAGGCAAAGTTTCTTTATTGATCTTTGATATGCTGCTTGGAATGTGTGTTTTTCTTTGCAAAATCATTTTCTAGGTAGGCTTAAATTGTTCAACATCTTCTCACAACGAAAATGTTTTGCACTGAATGGAGAAAATGACCATTCCTCTAATGTATCACAACTCTTACTTTATTGCACTTGCTTCAACCAATATGTAACTAATGGAGTCAATATTTAGCACTCGAAAATATCACCCACCCACATGACCCATCTCCCACCTTCCATCTCCTTTATCAGTATATAATAGTTTGCAAGGTAAGAGATTTTAAAAATTGATCTATAGGTTAGTGGTGAGATTCCAGGTCTTCCTTTGAAAAATATGACTTACCAGTGGCCAACAATATCCCCGTCCTTTCCTGAGCTGAAGATTATAACATTACCAGCATACTTGTGGCCACCAATATGAGAACAAGCTGCCACACGAACTTTGTCTTTCAATCCCTTGGACTCAATGAGCTTGCTAAATTCCTCAATTAGAATAGGTCCGCAAACACCACATCTTCGATCACGAAGATTGTGGGCACAGACAAACACATAAGAACCACTCAGCGACTCCTGCAATCCAGAGCTCCAAGGATTGCCATTGACAAGCACATCATCAACAAATGCATCCACATCTGACTCCTTCAAATCCCTTCATCATAAAAACAAGGCTTCAATGCAAACCATGAGACTCAACAGATCCGGACGAATCCGACAATGCATACACGTTTAGATCGACATTTTGAAGCTACCAAAGAGAATGCACGTAAACTAAAAAGCAACTTCAGTGTGTTATCTACAAACCGTTTTCTTCTAAAATATCAGAAGCTTGGATCCAGCTAATAGAATCAAGTCAAATTCATGAATCTTATTTGTCATTTTCTTGTTTAAAATTGAGTTATTTTGTCAGCCGTGCCCAATGCATGGAATATCAGCTTTGTGCCGCTCAATGCCAAATTTTAGAATAAATGAATAAACAAATAAACTACCTGTATTTGATCATTTCAGGAAAAATCAGAATATCTCCTTCTGATACTTCCATGTCATCACGTACTTCGCATATTGTCAAAAGAGTCTACAGCAAACAATCACCGGGGAAAAAATCAATCAATATCAACCAATCAACTAAACCTCAATATTAAATCAGTTGGATTCACTACAGAAATAATTACAAAAGCAGAAAAGTATTCCAGTGACAACATATTACCTATAATTCGTTCTAGACATTAGCACATAAAGACGCAGTAATCACAACAATGAAGTTTCTCCTAGCATTTATTGACAAAAACAATCAGTTATAGAAAACCTAACCTTGATTTTGATATCATCTTTGCGAGCTTTAAGAGCAGCAGAGAATGACTTGGGAAGCAGATCGGAGTCAGAAGCTTCAAGGCGAGCAGGCCAAGTCTCGTGAGACTTGTAACAGAGGAACAGATGACGATCATAGGAGGTCGCAGTACCTGCAAGTTTACTCTGGTACATCTCCGAACGCTGAAACCCAAACTTGACATCCTCGTTGGCGTTGCCGGCGTCGGCAGTAGCGTCGGTGGAGAAGTTCTCCGGTGTTCCGGCCATGGCGTTAACTAGGGATCGCGCAGATAAGCGAGTGAAGGGTTTTGGAGAGAAGTGCAAGCAAAATGTGATTGAGGAGGAGAGAGGATTTAAAGGCATGGGAAGCCTAACAAGGCACACCCGCCACTGATTTGGAAGAAATGATATTTTGACCACGACCAATTTTCCAGCAAAATAACAGGAAAAAAAATTAAATACTATATTTACTCCAAATCACCCATCAATTAAATAGTACTGTACTATATGTTTTCAAATATAAATATGAAAATCAATTAAATTTACTTGATGGTATAAAAGAAATACACTATGATCCCAGATAAGTTATCAATTTATTTTCATCTTTCTTATGTGACATTTGAAGAAAATTAATGGGGTTGGTGAAGAACGACTCCATTTCTAAATACAAAGTATGTGAGAATATTGACTTGTCGTTAAGGAATTTCCAATTTGAAAATTCATCAAAATTGTTTTCACGTTGAAAAATCACTTTTTAGTAATTTGCTTATGAAATGGTCCAACTGTAAACTTTGGGGGACCAAAGGTGCCAAATTCATTTGCTTTAATAAACTTTCTTTGAGTTATGTTTGACCAAAATCTATGTAAACAGTTTCTTTAATTAATCCAAAAATCATATAGTCGATCCCAACTTGTTACGCATTTGCAGTTCCATCTAATACTTCCCAATCGCCATCAACTTTTTAAATGACTGGATTATGGCACATCAACTTTTGATTCTTCAATTGAAAATTTTAAAACATCACATCCAGCAATGCCTAGCTTTATAGCCACATCTAGGCCTTCTTCATTAATATCAACAACATACTTATACAAGGAAAAATGGCCTTCAACATCTAATTCCTATGCATCTTGCATTTCAACAGAGTATGCACTTTACATTAGCATAAAGGAACACAAAAACAGTGTTTTCCTAAACGTTGAGCTCTTCGTATAAGGGCAGTGAGGGCACTGCTGC